ATTAGAATAGAGAGATCCATTTCATGTCAGAGTGGCAATACCAAAGGAAGGAAAGATAGGAAGAAATCTTGGGAACAGGTTACCGATGCCAAGTTGCCTTGCCGAAAAAAATTCAAACTGTAAAAATGCTGTGTACTAGCATGACTGCCACAGCCACAGAATTTTGAAATTTCCTGACAAAAGAAGAATTTTTTTGCCTTGATCATTAATTTTCCTGACTTGTGCCTTGCTAGTCACTCGGCTGAATAGAGCAATTACTAAAAAAATGCACCACCCTGTTGAGGACAACTACAATTGCAGGGTGAGACCCTTTTGAGGATGTACATGAGTGGAATTCAGGAGTCTGGCTATGCTACTGTATTTAAGCAAAAAAGAATTTCAGATTGCTGGTTGGAAATTTCATTGGAATTCTAGGTTGTCAGGGTCAACAAAAAAGTCAAGTTTTTGTGACTAAAACAAGAAACCTTGTTAGGGAGGTTTGAATTTTTTTGCCATATGTACTTCTATAAATATTATCCATTTTTCTTAAGACCCCCTCCCAACACTCTGGAAATTGCAATTAAGGTTCATACATTTCCTTGAAGTTTTTGACCTTTGAGATACCCCCATCCCCAAGAATTTTCAACCCTTTCTTTAAGCGGAGTATGGACATTTTCTGGAACTACACAATGCCAATTAGGTTGTAGCCTTGCTTCTGCAGTCCTACAAATGTAAGATGACAGAAAGCATCACAGCAGTGTCAAACTGTAGACTATCCAAGCCGCTTGCCAGGAATAGATCAAGCCCCAAATAGAGAATGCCCAGCCTGCTGGAGTGATTTCGATGTAGAACTTGTCAGATACTTCACCGGTTGAATAGTTTCCAAACAGATTTTTGAAAGGACCTTCGTTTGGTCTGCTAGCAGAGAAGTTGATCACTAAAAGGAAGATAAATACTATTACATTAATCGTGGTAGCCGCTATTTGCAGCGTTTTGCTTCGTCCTGCCATGATCTTCTGGATTTGCGAGAAGAGATACCGCCCTCTGACAAAATTTATTTGAGGTCTATCCCTTGACGAGGTTGTTGTTTATATATACCATCGTGTTACGCAATCAATTCTTTATTCACGTGTCACAGATCATTGAGTCAGCAGCAAGCACATTTTACAACACGCAATAGCTTCTTTTGATCAAGTCAAGATTTCGAAAATATTCTTCGATAAAAGATCAGTTGGTTGAAAATTTCAGAATATCCATTTTTTTCCCATCGAATTTGAAATAAAAAAAAAAAAAACCTTAAAAGAGTCAGTTTCGTAGGGTCCGGGAATGAAATTGCACGTGCGAATTGTGTTACGTAATATCAGAAACACGTGCACATACGCTTGTTCTGAAAATTTTCTCTTCGAAAACGTGACAGGCTTCCTCAACTTGATAATGTGACACAACCAAGATTCAAAAATAGTGGTTATGTAGTAAAAAGAAATGAACCTTTGACCCTCTTGAAGGACGCTTTGTTTTGGTTACCGTAATTTAAAACGCCTTCGACAAAACCTTTGATTCTAACTTTATGACAGAAGCTTTTAAAATAAAACATACTGCTTCCTGCACTGGAATTTTCAAGAAAGCCGAGAGTATAAACATAACAGACCAGTCGATGTGATTGTTGCTATGAAAGGACGAAAGATTACAGAAAAAATTCACTGGCTACCGTTATGAATAACGCTTTCTATTATGAACGTTTTTTACGCACTCTCTCTGAATACCTTGATACATGGAATGGTCACTCAACAACTCGGCCTAATTAATGTTTTAGTTGATTTGAACAGAGTTAATAGAGGGAACTGGTTATGAAAGCCGGCGAACTTCAGACGATGGAACCCTTTGTGTTGGTTTATGGCATGTCACGTGACCGCGAAGGTGCACAAAATGTGAAGATGGCGACCAGCGAGTAGCCTTGCTTCGAGTTTATTCTTTTTTTACGGATGATCTAGAAATAATCTAACTGAAATATT